GCAATTGCCTGCAAGTGTCGGGGGCGGCAAAGAGGGGGGTGATGACTAGGGGGGGGGGGATATCATGGCGGGGGCCATGACATTTCCCCAGATTTCATGGCGCCTCTTCTTTATTCCATTGCGTCCCTGGCCCCCCCGCGGGGCCGCGCACGGGCCGCCGGTCATGATTTGCCCCCCCCCCCCCCCCACTCTTGGACACCCCCCTCTTGGCCGCTCCCGAAGGTGTGCCTGCACGCACGCGGCAAGGCTGTCAGCTCGAAGAGTCTCCTCCAGATCTGCCCGCGGGAGCTGCGCCACCCTCGCTCCGTCCTCCGCACACAGGGCCAGCTATATCGTTGGCCGACCAGCTCGCTGGGTGAACCTGGGCACTCGCAGCCTGCTCCACCGCGTGGCGAGAAGAGACCTTTTCAAACTGAAATCTCGCGGTCCTGGGCCAGGACCCAAAATTCACGCCAGAGCCGCTCATTTTCCTCATGGTGCCCATCCGGCCCCTGGCGGATCCCGTCGACCACATTCCGGGCGTCAACGACGAAACGCACGGGGCTTCTGGCCCGAGACAGGGACTGGACAGTTGCACACAACTCTGCGATTGGAACTGATTGCTTCCAATGATCCACAGGGCCAAACGCCCAGGCTGCAACTTCCCACCCTCGCAGGACTGCCAGCCCCCAGCAAAACCTACGAATTCTAAACTCTTCATGGTACTTGCCACCTGGCCATTCAGTGGCCACGATGGTGGTGTGGTCGAAACAGATAATATCCTGGTGGGCGAACTCCCCGCCAACATGTGGCAGTCCCTGGATCGGGCGGGTCGCGAACGGGTACACCCACAGCACAGGCGCGAGCCCACGTAGCCAAAAACAGGGGAAATCCTGGACTCCCTCCCTGGCCTGGCTGGCCAGCTCGCCGCGTAGCCCCTCCAGGGCCTCGTTATCTGGACAATCCCAGAATTGATGAAACAACGTTTCCTGGGCTGCTCCAGAGCGCGGGCAAGCAGGGCTGGTCCAAGTGGGGTGGCTAGGGCGACTGGCCACCTCCGAGGCTCCTTCGAGAAGGTCTAAAGGGCTCCATGGGATCTTCAGGGGGCTCTGGCCAGGCCTGCTGATCCTCCCACTGGGCCTGCTCCAGCACCTGGTCAAGAGAAACCTCCTCGAGATCCTCCTCCTGCTCCCCGACCCTGGCCTGCACCGCGGCGGTGGCTTGTGGACCTGGATACTCCAGATCTCGAGCCTGCGCTGGCTCGGGGGGTGGGGCTCCCGGGGAAGAGGGCAAATTGGGGTTTGGAGGCAGGGGGCGCGTGGCTTCATCACCGAAGCGGCGATTCCCTGGCCACGACGCTCCAGACATGACCATCCGAAGGGTGCCCAGCTGGTCAAACTTGCCCTGCCTCCCAAGCTGCGTCAGATGACATTTACTGATCTGCAAATCAGGGCCATGCTCCAGGCCCTTGCCGCGGTAGTGCTTAGAAGCTGCCAACCATGCCTGCTGGTCTAACGCTCCGTACAGCTCGAACTAGATGATTCGCTCTGGGTCATCGGTCTCAAGGTTGAGACGCTCGCCGTCCTGGTTGATCCAGTCCCAGGGCGAATCGGACGAGAAACCTAAATCTTGCAACGCTGCAACTGTGGCTGACGAGGTTCATCTCACTCTACTCCAACGCGAATGAGAATTGTCCAGACTCGTCCAAGCTTTGGGCCAGGCAACATGTACAGCTTGGCGCCGATCTTTCAAGAGATCTGGCAACGTAGCGATCCATTCCCGAAAAAAACGCAATCATCCAAAAACCATTGGGCCTTGGTGTGCTGAAGGGAAGGTCATTCGAATCGTGGTCGTCGCGCAGCCTCCTTCATTTCGGCCAACCATGCCACTGATTTGTGCTCTCATCTTCAAAAGCAAAGACGGGGCTATGCCTTGGCCCTCCAGGCCCCAGGATGCTTGCGGCAGATATCCCGCCTTCACCCGGGAAGCCGCTACTCGCGAATTGTTGACTACTCGTTTGATCATTTGGCCTCGGTCGTGGATCGCCTGCACTCGCTCCTTGGCCGCGACCACGCTCCTGCGGTGCGAGGGGCCGTCGGTCCCCAGGCCCTTTACGAATTGGCTGCGCTGCACATTTATCCTAGCTTCTTGCAGCCTTGTCCCGATGACCGCTGCGACCCTGGGAGGGTTGGGAACGACCTTGCTTTTTCACCGGAATGGCGAGGCCCAGGGACGCGCAACGATCCACGAAAAAAACAAATGCAGCTATCGTAACCACCATTCTCTCTCTCTCTCTCTCTTTCTCTCTCTTTCTTCCTATGACTGATTGCTGATTGCGTGATATCGTCCAGCTCTGGACTTTAGCTAGTCTGTGCGAGGCGCGCACTTCGCTAAACATTTGCCACAGAGCCAGCCGAGAAATATCCACGCCCCGGGAGCATCCAGCAAGGATCCCCTCGAAGGCATGCAGGGGCCCCGAGGCCACCCTACACCACCCCGCCCCCTCGGCACCTTCGGGGCCCAAAGGGGGGGCGAAGAGCGATGAGCAGGTGAGTGAGGGGATATCCTACAGCCGATCCTACTTGCCAGAGCTGATCTGGGTCTAACGTGTCGTAGAACTTTTCTAAGTCCCACAACACGTCATGCAAAGCCCTGCAGAGACGCAACCTCGAGACGAGTCTGCCTGAGGAGCGCTGCCCGCAGGCAGCTGGAACATGCCACTGCCTCGCCCCGAAACTGCACGTGTCTTCCAGATCATTCAGCGACGTGCCACCTGCGAATGCGCGGCCACATTCGGTGCGGGGATCGGGTTAAAGTGATGGGCTTATCAGCCTCGGATGTTTTGCACATGAGCTGCATTATGTTCACTAGCATCTGCACTGGCCAGCATAGGTTCCTTTTTACGAGGTTGGGGAGGAAGGCGATGTGAAGGCGGCCCTCCTCAGGAAGCAGTCGCCACCATCGCGGGTTGGTGCGGCCAGCTCCCATGCCTATGACTGGCTTAAAACATTTGAGCTCCCCCAGGACTTCGCGCGTCCCGGGGCCAAGGGTCAGGCTGTGCTGCTTAGCTGCTCGGCGGAAGTCTTTCCGGCAAGCCTGCTCGCGTGGGGGGCCTTTACCCTTGCCCCAGTGTTGCAACCAACATTCGCCTTTTGCTTCCATATTCTGGAGCGGGCCCGACACGAATTGGCCATCCGAGCCCCGAGCCTTTGACGGCTCCTGCTCTGGGCCCCCCCGGGACTTCGCGCGCCGATGGACAGCCCCCGCTCACCTTTTCAGACTGGCCTGCACCCATTCCTTGAAACATCGCGAGCTCTCATGGAGGAAATGGGACTCAAGGCGACGCGCGGCTGCGTCGACCTTGCGAGACCATCCCAGCAGCTACTCCTCGCCGGGGCCTTCAAGGACCCCCAAATCCTCCTGGAGCTTGCTGATTAGAGCTCTGAGCGACGTATCCTTCACATCTGCTGGCCGCCCGCGCAGCCCGCCCGCTAGCAGCGAACGCCTCCACCGCCCCCGCCACTAAACCCGACCCCCCCCCCTTCCCCCTCAGGCCTGGCAGCGCATGAAATCGCACTCGCAGGCCTGACCAGTGAGGAGAAAGTGCGTTGGCATCAGCCAGCCGACCCGCGGGCGCGGTGGCTAAAGCTGGCACGAGGCGGGTCTCATGGTAGAAACCCTCGACTGCATCGTGGGCAGGCCTGGGGTCAGGCTGCCCGCTGAGGGGCAGATCCTCTGCCGCCGGCGCGCACTCCACGTGCACTTGGCCCACGAAGCCCATCTGCTTGCATCTGGCGCCCCATACCCTGAGCGACCCTGTCCTGCACTGCCCGCACGCGGTAGCTCCATGGTCTGTGAGGCCCGGCGGTCTCCAGCACAGGCACAGGCTGGATCAGGATCCTCTGCACGACGAGCTCTGGTGCACACAACCGTCAGTTCTCCTATGATGCCGTAGTGCGGGGCAGCCCAGGGCTCTACTCCATCCTATCGCAGTTTGACCAGTCCATGTCTTTTCTCTGCGGCAAGGCAAGAGTCGTTCACTCGATGTCTTCCTGGCTGCGGCCCACGCGGCTTGCGCCAAACTCCGCCCAGGCAGGTGGTCAAGCGCAAGGCTTCTTCTCCGTCTCAACCATGTTCCAGTCTAGCATGGTGACGAAGAAGGGCCCCTTCGTTTGGACGCGCGATGTCACGCCGTTGATGGTGTCGATGCTGGGGCCAGCCAGGCCCACACCAACTACCAAATACATGGAAGCCAAAAGAATATCCCGTCCTTTCATCCTGATCGATAGCGACGTCCACTGCGATGCATCCTGTACATGTTGAAGCATCCCTCTCCAGGCGAGTTGCTGCTGCACCTGCAGCCACGCTCCACCATGTCATCGGACTCCCTGGCCTGTCGTCGCCGCAGCAGGCATGGCATGGGTGGTCCAGCCCAGTTTGGAGATCTTCCTCTTTGCCTCATTCAAACGCTCCCCTGCCAAGTGATGTTCTGCCACTCCAAGCCCTTCTCACTCCAGCTCGTGATGTTGCTGAAGTAGAAAGAAAACGTTGTCGAGACCTTTGTGCCCTCTTCCCCGCTGTCAGGCGGAGTGAGTTTGGCCGTGGGACCACTCCTAGAAATTGACGCGCTTGGGCTCTCAGCGCCACCACTCAGGGGCGGGGCCTTGGTCCTCGAAGCAGGGCTTCTCGGAAGCTCTGGAGCCAGCGCTGCCCACCTCGGGCTGCCTAGGCCCCTCGGCGCCCAAGAGGCCCCCTACACGGAGGACGTTGGAGACGCCTTATTGCCGCCGTAGACGCTTCGCTTGTTCCTGAAATAAGGCGACCATGGCCGCTGCACGTTGCTCCTCAGAAGTCTCCGTACCCCAGGTGGACATGAGCTCCCGCGCGCGCTGATTGGTGCCGCTCTCGTCGACGAAATCGGCATTCCCCATGCGCTTGCCCCGGCCATGACCGCCATCGCCGCCAACGACAGTAGCAGGGCCCCCAGGATGAGGCTGCTGGCCCTAATCGGGAGCCTGCACCTGCGCCTGGAAGCTCCTGAGCTTGTCCATCGACGACTTGATGGCTTCTGCGTCCTGCTGCTCACGCTGATCACCTCCTGCACCTGATGTGATGAGCTTGCCGACGAGCTCCGCCAGCTTGCCCAGCTCGGCCCAGGCCTCCTGGGGGGGGGCTGTGCCTGGGGAGGCGCCACGGGGCCTCGCGGCGGGCTTCCTCGAGCTCCTTCTCCGCCTCGCGCAGGGCACCGTGGGCCTCCATGCGCTCCAGAGCCGCCTGCTTCGCTGCCTCCTCAGCGCTGACGACGCGCGGGTTGGCCTGCAGCACCTTGTTTTGGGCCTTGGCGGCCTGCGGTGGCAGATCCTCATGCACGCGCGGGCCCTGCGTGCCAGCTGCGCGAAGGCGCCTACGATGGACCTGCTTGTCCCGCTGGCTCTGGGACAAGCAACCTCCCCCGATCTGGAACCCCTCCTCGCCCGTGATGAGCCAAAACTCCATCTGCCGCTCGTCCAGGGGGGGGGGGTCCTGCCTGTCAACCAGCGTTCTTGGTTTTAGAGTTGCCGAAACCCTGCCCCGCTCGCTCGTGCCATGACATCCCGCGGAGGCGCTGGGGGGCGGCCCCACTCTCCTCGAGGCTGCGGCGGGCGGGCGATACGGGGTACCTGTCCATGATTCGGGCTGCACCCGCCACAGTGGAAACGCTGACGCTTGTTACCACGGTTCCACGCCTTGCACCGTCGACATCCCCGGCCCACCATGCCGCGCAGTGTTTGGGAACCGTGTCCGATGGAATCTCTTGAGGAAGAACGATTGCGAGTGGGATCGCGAACCTCGGCCACAATCGCTCGTTTGAACAAAACCTGACTTGCCTCAACTGCTCGAGCCGAGGTTGGAAGTCAAGGAGAAGGCCCCTTGAGCCAAAATGCCTACGGCCTCCTCCTCCTGCTCGTCCTCCTCCGCTCCCTCCTTCTCCCCTTGTTCCTCCTCCTCCTCCTCCTCCTCCTCCTCCTCCTCCTCCTCCTCCTCCTCCTCATCCTTCCGAACCTCCTCACAGATGGCATCACGGTCCCACAGTGCAGGGTGTTGCTCACGCTCGCAACTAGGCGGAGCCCAGAACGACTCCCAGTTCTGCACTATTCTGGCCCACGCCTGGGAAACCGACATTAGGGGGGGGGGGGGCCGTTGAAAACCATCGTCGGCGGTCATGACGAGGAATGGCTGAGCAGAGTCGCGCGCAGACTTGAAAGCAGCGCTGCCCCCCTTCTCTTGAGCAGCAGACTGGGGCCAGTCCCTCCAGGCCCTTTTGGATGTTCACCCCGACCACGACGGAGAAGCTGCTCTCGAAGTGAAGACGCACCTCCATCAGCAAACGGGCGGCACCGCGGCATGTCGGCTGCATCCAGGGTCCCCAGAAGAGAAAGTCTTCAGGCCCCCAGAGACCAGGACACAGATAAGCCAGGACACGGGAAACCAAGGAAACGACACCCTTTTTCCTGCAAGGTCACATGTTTCAGCACCCGTGCATTTTTTGTTTGCTGCACTGCAGGATTCGGGTTTGTGTCCGGGTTTTTGGGGGGGGTCTCGCAGGCTCTTGGGGCCTGAGTCCGGGCTTGCTCTGGAAGTGCTGCCGTGCAGTATGTTGTTCGTGCCGCCGTTTGGGAGAAAGCGGTTTCGAGGGACAGTGGGTGTCTGGGCCTAGCGTGTCCGGGCCCGCGGGGACCCAAAAGCCTCCCGCCGGAGCAGGCAGAGAGACGTGCGCGCGGTCCTTGAGGGGACCCCCCGATGGCCAAGCGGGCTCAAGCGAGGCTGCCGCGCGCCTCTCCGACGGCCACGGGCAGCCACGGCTCTGGCTCTCTCTCTCTCCCTCTGGCTTTACGTCGGGCCTGTCCCTCTACAGGGGGAATCGTCAAACATATCTCTATATATATATATATATATAACAAAAACAAGACAGCATATAGGGGACTATTTGTCTGTACCTTTTGACCATTTCGGTGTATTTTTAGCGAATTGGTTTATTTGTCGTACAAAATCCGCCTGGAGGGGGACGCGCCCGACTTAACTCTAGCTGCGGGCCCCGCCGAATCGAGTCTGGACCACGCCCTGTACGCCACCGGGCGGTCGCCAGAACCCCCCCCCCGAGGCAGAGGCAGCCGCGGTGGCCGCTGCTGGCGGGGTCTCGGCGTCGAGCTTCGCCTCGGCTCCTCCGAGCTCGGTGCCGACAGCGGGCGGCCAGGGGAGAAGCCGGTGGCGCAGCGACGGCTGGCCCCGGAGAGGAGAGTGGAGAGCGCCTCCAGGCTGGCCAGGACACCCTCAGGCTCCTCCCCACTCTGCGACCCGGGCGTGAGGGGCCGTGCCTGAGCCTCACGAGTGGCCACCTCGATGCTCCGCAGGTTGCAAGTGTGCTCAGAGACGACCTTGTTGGCCTCCGCGGGATCCCTGACGGCGAGGTCCACAGCCTCGCTCGCTTCGGCACCGCGGACTCTGGTGGCCTCAAGCCGGTTGATTATGCGCGTCGTCCGTTGAAGGTTCCTGCAGGCCCTTATCCGACAGATAAGCTGGCTTAGGCTGCACCGGCTATTCCTCCTTGGCCTCGGCAAACTCCACGACGTCGCTGACGTTCTTTCCCGAGCCCCTGGGGCTGTGTACTCCTCCTCCTCCTCCTCCTCCTCCTCCTCCTCCTCCGCCTCCTCCGCCTCCTCCTCCTCCTCCATCTCCTCCTCCTCCTCCTCCTCCTCCTCCTCCTCCTCCTCCTTCTCCTCCTCCTCCGCCTCCTCCTTCCCCCTCTCTGGCGCCGCTGGAGCGCCGCCCGACTTGCCACTTCCTCTCCCCTTTGTCCTTCCTCCGTTGATCGCTCGGCCCACCTCCGCGAGGTGGTGGTCCCTGACTAAGGCAGGGGACGAAGCAAAGATGGGCATCCACTGCCCAGCGAGCCTGGGGCTCGCCACTTCCTCGGCACACGCCAGCGCGCGCGCTGTCCACCTTCGCGACACTGCGATTAAGTCGGGCCTGTCCCTCTACAGGAGGAATATTCAGAAATGGTCAAAAAATAGTCTGGGGGGGATTTTGTTTTACCATGCTTGAATGTTTTCTAGCATGTTTGGGGTATTTTCTTATTTTTCGTCCACAATCCGCCTGCAGGGGGACAGGCCCGACCTAACACTGCGAGCGCCACGCGCAGACGCCGAGGCGGCACTTCGCCTGCGGGCGGACCCAGGCCTTCGCATGCGACTCGTCGCCATGGCTCTCCCCCGTGTCGCCATGGCTCTCCCCCACGGGCGCTGCTTTGAAACGCGGATTCCTGCGGCCCTGCGCCGCTGCGCCACTTCAGGTGCGCGGTGCGACGGGCCGCTGCACCGGAACAAGAGACCCAGAAGCAGCTGGAGGAGGCGGGAGGCAGGCAGGAGGACCGAGGCTCGAGGACCCAGGATCCCGATTCCCCGAGAAGCGCCTGCACCAAGGAGGCGTTTCGCCTCGTGCGCGCCTGGGGTCAAGCCGGGCCTTCCGTCTACAGGGAGGAATATTCAAGAGCAGTCAAAACATAGTCTGGGGACGATGTTCTTGAACATTGTTGGTGGTGCTTTATTCTAAATTTATATATATATATATACATTAAGTATAATATCTCTAATAATAACAGTCTTATTCAGAACAATGATAAAACCAAGAATAATAATAGTAGTAGTAGTAATAATAATAGTAGTAATACTAATAATATTAAGAATCCTAATAATACGAATCGTAATAATGTTGAGAATATTAATAATACGGATAATAATGATAATAACAAGACATCGTCCACGATCCGCCCGCACGGGGGACACGCCCGACGCAAGCCCGGGGCCTGCCCGTGGCCGCCCCGTGCCCGCCCCGTGCCGGCCGAGTCTTCCGGACTGTTTGGCGCCCGGTGGTGGACGCCCCCCCCCCCCGTGGGGCCGCCCCGTTGGGCCGCCCCGTGCGCAGGAGTCGCGCAAGAACCGAAGGAGGAAAAAACACCTGGACCAGACAGCTGGCGTTTGTGAAACGGCCCGGGGCGTTTGCTAAAGAGCCCTGCCCTGTTCGGTTCCTTCTTTGGGTCGGAGGTGGACAGACCTCCTACCCTGGCACGTCGATTAAGGAATTGGCCGTTTTCGGTCCGCGGGAGGGCGTCGCGGCCGTCATTTTGTGCTGGTCCAGGTCCGTCGGTTTCGGTCCCAGGCCGTTTTCACGAAGGGGAGGTTTGCTAAAGGGAGGTTTGTCCACCGCCGAAGGAGGGCCTCCTGTTTCTGGCACTTCGCCCTGGGGTTTTGGGTCGGGCCTGTCCCCTCCACAGGAGGAAGGTCCAGAGATGGTCAAAAAATAGTCTGGAGGCGTTTGCTGAGCATGTTTTGGATTTTTTCATATGTCGTCCAAAGTCTGGAGACCTTTGTGGAGCATCTTGTCATATGTCGTCCAAGATCTGGGGCTACTTTTCAAAAATAGTCTGGAGACGTTTGTGGAGCATCTTTTGGTTCTATTCCGCCTGCAGGGGGGCATGCCCGACCCGACCCCCGTTGCCGCCCCGTGACCGCCCCGTGCACAGGAGTGCCTTCTGTCTCTGGCACCTCGCCCTGGGGTCAAGTCGAGCCTCTCCCTCTACAGAAGGAATACAGTGGGGGCGCGCAGCAAGAAGCCATATGCTTTTCGTCGGGGTATCCTGGGTTTCTTTGCTCCTCGCGCTGCGCGGCGACTTCCCGCGGCCGTTAAAGGAGCTGCTGCGTTCAAGGTGCTCTGGGTCTCCCCTCCGGTGCACCTCGCGCGCGGGTTCTCAGGGTTGGGCTTCTTGCGAGGGTTTCTTGCGGCCGCGCCCGCACTGTATTCGAAGACAGTCAAAAAACAGTCTGGAGACGTTTGTGGAGCATTTGTTGGTTCTGTTTTACTTGTCGTCCAAGATCCGCCTGCAGGGGGACACGCCCGACCTAACCCCAGGGGCGCATCGCGGCCGCCTCGCGGCCGCCTCGTCCGCTGGCCCGCGCTTCGGGGTGCACATCGGCCCCGTCGCTTCCAGGCCGCGCTTCGGGGTGCACATCCGCCCCATCTTTTGGTTCCTTAGCTGCCTCGATACGCCCGTTTTGATATGCAACACGTGTTCAAAACGTCCGTGCCAATACGTTGCATGTTGGCTCCACGTATTGGCCCACGTTTTGGCGAGTGTATCGCGTCGGACCTACGTGTTCAGTCTACGTGTTGAGCTCCGTATCAATGCGCTACGTGTTGCGCTTTGCGTATCGAGGCAGCTAAATTTGGTTATTGTGCGCCTGCAGGGGGACATGCCCGACCTAACCCCGGGGGCGCCGGCCCGCGCCTCGGGGTGCACGGAGGCCCCGTCGCTTCCGGGCAGAGTGCGCTCGGCCCGCGCCCCGAGGCCTCGAGAGCGTCCGCCGCTGCGCACTGGCCTGTCCTGTGTGGAAGTCGAGCCTGTCCCCCGACGTCAGGCAGTGGCGAAGCGTCCTGGCTCGCCTGTAGGCCTAGCAAACAATGGCCTGAGAGCCTCTTGTGGCTCCCACGAAGTGTTCTCAGAGCATTTCTGGCCGGGACTGTCCTGTTTTAACACATCGGGTGCATGCTATGATGCTCCAATCTACTTTAGCCCGAGCCACCAGGAATAATTTCGAGCACCAAGAGAGTACCCAAAAGCTCGAGAGCTTTCACGCGTCGGGCCCTGGGAGACACTCGCCCGACACTGTTTCGACACTCTTTTTTGACACTTTTCCGGGTGCTCGAAATTCTTTCTGGGATGTGGTCTTTCAGTACGATGGGGGCAACATAAGTCCTGTGTTGAAGTCGGGCCTGCCACCCTACGTCAAGCAGTGGCGAAGCGTCCTGGCTCGCCTGTAGGCCTAGCAAACAATGTCCTAAGAGCCTTTTGTGGCTCCCACGAAGTCCTCTCAGAACATTTCTGGCTTGGACTGTCTTGTTTTGACACATCGGGTTTATGTTCTTAGAACATTCCTGGGTTCGAAGAACTGTTCGTGGTAGACCTATTGAAATGCCGGGACGGTCGATCCCTGCTCAACTACAAGAGGAACATTCAAATATAATCAAAAAATAGTTTGGGACGATTTGTTTGAGAGTATTTTGGGTATGTGTTAAAATGCGGTTTGAGATGTTGAATATGTCTTCCAAAATCCGCCTGTAGGAGGACATGCCCGACCTAATCCTATGTGTTCTGCACGACCGACCATCCTACGGATTAAGTCGAGCACCCCAGCCAGGGCTCATTTCATTTCGATGCCGCCGATTCGATTCGATTCGATTTCGATGGATTCCGATTCGGATTCGATTCGATTTCGGATTCCGATTCGCGGGATCCGATTTCTCATTGGAGGCCTACTAGCCTGCCAATGTCTGCCGTGCCCCCCGCCCCCACCCCCACCCCACCGCCACCTCACCCCACCCTGGGGGCTTCGGTGGAGCTCCAGTTTGGGGCCACGAATCATGCGAGGGGTGTGCCAGAATCGGCTGGGGAACCGCACGTGCTCCCCCCCACACCAGGGCTGGACCTAAACGCTGTTTTGCTGGACTTCGGGTGTGTTTTGTTTTCCGTTTCGGCAGGGAGATACAGGAAAACAGGTCGAGCAAAACAGAGACAGCATGAAAACAACACGAAAAACAATGTTTGGGTCCAGCCCGTCCCCACACCCCCCACACCGCGTGGAGCTTTGCTGGGCCCCCCTTTATTGGGCCACGAAGCTCGCGAGGGAAGAGCCGACGTGGACTGAGGGACCATCTGCCCCCCCCCTTTCCCGCTGGAGCTCCTCTTCCTCTTCTTCCTCTTCCTCCACCTCCTCCTCCTCCATTCCTTTTCCTTGTTAAGTAATGTTTCCTTGTCGCACCCCGAGGCAAGTTTTGAGGGCGGTCCGGGCGTTTCGCCTGAGACTTCCTCACCATCTATGACGCTGAACCTTAAAAAGTGTGCACCGTTTCACGGATTGAAGGCGGGTGGTTTTCAAAATGTGGTTTTCGCTTTAGCGCCGCGCACATTCGCTCTAAAGACTTGTAAGAGCTTCACGGATTGAGGGCAGGTCGTTTTCAAAATGTGGCTCTCGCTCGCCTTAGCGCCGCACACATTCGTTTTAAACATTTGCAAGTGCTTCACGGCTTGAGGGCGGGTGGTTTTCAAAGTGTGGTTCTCGCCTGAGCGCCGCGCACATTCTTTTTATACATTTGCAAGAGCTTCACGGATTGAGGGCGGGTGGTTTTCAAATCAGCGCCGCGCACATTCTCTTTATACATGTGCAAGAGCTTCACGGATCGAGTGCGTCGTTTTAAGTTAAAGATTGAGAAGAGTTTCACGGATTCCCATGGTCAGCGTACCAGAAATGGTGTTTTGGAAGGGTTCAGGATTATGTGGGTGCAACAGTTATGTTGGTTTGCGTTGTTGACCTCCCAAAAATGACGGTCTGTCACGATTCAGGATCGTCAAGACGCAGCAGTACGGTTGATCCGTGGCGTTAAAATGCCGAGAACCAGATTTTGGCATGCTTCAGGGTCTTCAAACGGTTGTCTTCCAACGAGGCAGCTCCCTCAATGGAAATGAGCCGTTGCAGGAACCTATGAAGGGGTCAATGTAGAGGGAGCTTGGAGGGAGGGTTCATTCCAATATCGTTGACGACTCTTGGGTTTACACTGGTACTCCTCCTCCTCCTGCTCCTGCTCCCCGTGGGCTGGGTGGAGCTCCCAGGGGGGCCGCGGCACGTGAAAGGGGTGTGCCAGCACACACCCACACCCTTGGGGGCTTTGGCGAGGCCCCCTACGCAAGGGCGCCCTCGAGGGCGCGAAGTTATTCGCGCTTCGCGCTTCGCGGTTCCGCTCCGATTCCTCCTCATCCTCCTCTTCTCCCCTGGGAGGCGGCGCGAGGGCGCGAAGTTATTCGCATTTCGCGCTTCGCGCAGCGCGAAGCGCGAAGTTGGGAGCCCTTGGGGGCTTTGGCGAGGCCCCCTACGGTGCCAAGGAGCGCGCGACGGGTGTGCTGGCATGGGCTCGGGGACCGCACGTGCCCTTTCTTGGGGAGGCTTCGGCGGAGCTCCTCGGCCACGAGCAGTGTGACTGGACGTGCGGAGGGCAGCGGCAGGAACGAGAGGCGGGAGGGAGGGAGGGAGGGAGGAGGAGGACGAGGAGGAGGAGGAGGAGGGGAGGAGGAGGAGGAGGGAGGAGGAGGGAGGGGGCGGGAGGGGAGGAGGAGGAGAGGAGGAGGAGGAGGAGGAGGAGAGGAGGAAGAGAGGAGAGGAGAGGAGAGGAGAGGAGAGGAGAGGAGAGGAGAGGAGAGGAGAGGAGAGGAGCGGAGAGGAGCGGCGACGCAGGGTGGAAAGAAGGCCAATGAGAGCCTCACGCGCGAGCGCCCGCGCGCACAGCGAAATCGATCGAGCACATCGCGTGCTGGCGACAATCATAAGTTGTAGGTGTCCCCGTGAACGTTGTCAGACAGGTCCATGCGAGCAGCACGCGCGCCCCCGCGCGCGTGCAGGTCAAAATCATTTACATCTCCATCGTGCTTTCATGAGCACTTCGGGGGTAGAGCACTTCGAGAAGGATCAGAGCAAGTGCTTGTTGTTCGCAAGCACTCTTGATTCTCCCCGGCAGTATCATCGCCCGCCTGCTCGAGCCATGGATATGCAGCATGAGAGGGCTCCACGCACAAATGCTTTTGATTGGATTTGTTAAGGTGTTCCGAACGGAAATTGCATTCCTGGCCTATGGAGTATTCCCAGCAAGTTGCGGGCGGGTGGGTGGGATGTTTGTTCGAGCATTGGATTTAATGGTGCCAAGTTCTCGAATTCAACTGCGCCACATGTATTGCACCGAATAACGTCCACCACACCCTATGCCTTGCACGACAGATTGCACCACCTGGCCGTTTTGGGACCCTCTGAAGCCTTCTCGAGGCTATCTTCGGCCGTCTTGGAGCGCATCTGTTCGGATGTCTCACCATCCTCCCCCACGGTCCTCCTCATTCTCCTCATCCGCTCTTTTTTCGGCGGGGCTTCCCAGGAGCCCTCCGGCCTTCTGGGAAGTGCTCTGCGTCTAAGGTTAAGTCGGGCCTGTCCCTCTACAGGGGGAAAATTCAAAAACAGTCAAAAAGTAGTCCTGGGACTATTTTTTGCGTATCTTTGAGCATTCTTTGAATATTTTTTGGATATTTTAAATTGTCGTCCAAAATCCCCCTGTAGGGGGACAGGCCCGACTGACGTCTGAGGAGAAGGCTCCGCAAATTTCTCAGGAGGCCCGAGGCACTCTGCGCCTTCTGAGAGGGCCTGTCCCCTCTCCCGTCCCCCCTGGGCTCGCCACCGACGTGGTCCTTCTCCCGTTCACCCCTCCTCCTCCGCCGCCACCCCTCCGGGGAAAGGGCCCGGACATCCGGAGGAGGAGGAGGAGGAGGAGGAGGAGGAGCAGAAGGAGGAGCAGAAGGAGGGGGCAGCAAAAAGAGGAGGAGGAGGAGGAGCAGAAGGAGGAGGAGGAGGAGGAGGAGGAGGAGCAGGAAGAAGGGGAGGAAGAGGAGGAGCCCTTGTGGAGGTGAGCGGCGTTTCGAAAACGGACCTCCCGTGCCACTTCGCGGACCTGTCGGCGTACGTGGAGCAGGAGGACTGCCTCTACGCCCTGAGCACGGTCTTGGAGACCATGGACTTCGCTGCTAGGCCCGGGCGTCCACGGAGGAGGAAGAGCAGAAGAGCGAAGGGAGGGAGATTGGGAGATCAGTGAGGAGAGGGGAAGAAAGACGAGCGAGAGAGAGAGAGGGAGAAAAAAGAGAGAGAGAGAGACGAGGCAGACTAGAGAGAGAGAGAGAAAAACAAAAGGTGTAAGAGAGGAAAAAGGAGAGGGAGGAGAAGGGAGAGGTAGAGCAGGTGGTGGTGAAGGAGATACAGGTGGGGGAGGTGGAGGTGAACATAGAAACAGAAAGAGAGAGGGAAGAGAGAGAGAGAGAGAGAGACCGAACAGTAAGCCTGAAGAAGGAAGAGAGAGAGAGAGACAGAGAAAGAGAGGATATAGAAGAGGAGAGAGATGATAAAACATAAAATGTAGAATTACATAATAAATTCATCCAGAAAAGACAGCGGCAGAGTGAGATGGAGAGAAACAGAGGGGGGGGAGAGAGAGAGAGAGAGAGATCAGAAACCAAGACATACATAATGAGTCAAGAACGAGGACACGGCGAGAAAGAGAGAAATCATCAAACACATGGAGAGACAGAGAAACAGGCAGACAGACAGACACAGAGAGGGAGAGACAGAGAGAGACAGAGAGCGAGAGAGAGACAGAGGCAGAGGCAGAGGCAGAGGGACAAGTGGGCGTCGTGCCTTGTGGCAGAACGGCAGGGAGAAGCTGGACAGGGAGGCGAACTCCACCATCCCATCCGTAAATCCCACGGCGGCCCGCCTCCACCTCCGCTCCTCCACCTCCTCCTCCTCCTCCTCCCCTCCTTCCTCCCGTCCTCCTCCCCTCCTCCTCCTCTTCCTCCTCCTCCTCCTCCTCCTCCTCCTCCTCCTCCCGCTCTCTCTCCTCCTCCTCCTCCTCCTCCTCCTCCTCCTCCCTCCTCTCCACCTCTCCCTCCTCCCTCCTCCTCCTCCTCCTCCTCTCCTCCTCCTTCTCATCCTCCTCCTCCTCCTCCTCTTTCTCCTCCTCCTCCCTCCTCCTCCTACCTCCTATCTCCTCCCTCCCTCCCTTCCTCCCTCCTCCCTCCTCCCCCTCCCTTACCTCCTCCTCCTCCCCTCCTCCTCCTCCTCCCTCCTCCTCCTCCTCCTCCTCCCTTCCTCCTTCCTCCAATCCTCCTCCTCCTCCTCCTCCTCCTCCTCCTCGTCCTCCTCCTCTTTCGTCCTCGTGTGGGCGGAGGGGGCGGGCGACGGAGCGCGCACTGAGAGAATGCAGGCGTCGAGCAGCGAGCGGGGCAGGCAGTCACGGGTTCCGCGGCCTCGCGCCTCGACGCCGCGTGCTGGAGGCGAGGACCCCGTCGACGCCCGTCGTGCCACCGGGCTTTGGCGCTTTCCGCAAGCGAGTAGTAGGAATCGTAACACTAGTGTTCCTCGTCCTCCTCAGCGTCATCCTGCTCCTCACTCGCGGCATCACCATCCTCCTCCGCATCATCCTCATCCTCCGCGTCGTCATCCTCCTCGCCTCCTGATCGTCGCCTGCTTTCGATCTGTCTTTGACACGCCGGCGTGGACCCCCCTTTTTTTGTTCCCAACCAGCCTGTGGTGTTGGGTCCTCGTTTTGAAGAGACGTCGCCCCGCGTTCCTTCCTCCTCCTCCTCCTCCTTCCTCCTCCTCCCCTTCCTTCCCCCTCCTCCCCCTCCCACACCCATTCTGGCACACCCCTCACACGTTTCGTGGCCCCATAGGGAGCTCCACCGAAGGCCCCAGTGGCTGCGCCCGCATGCGGTTCCACCCCCCATTCTGGCACACCCCTCACACGTTTCGTGGCCCCATAGGGAGCTCCACCGAAGGCCCCAGTGGCTGCGCCCGCATGCGGTTCCACCCCCCATTCTGGCACACCCTTCACACGTTTCGTGGCCCCATAGGGAGCTCCACCGAAGGCCCCAGTGGCTGCGCCCGCATGCGGTTCCACCCCTCATTTTGGCGCACCCCTCACACGTTTCGTGGCCCCATAGGGAGCTCCACCGAAGGCCCCAGTGGCTGCGCCCGCATGCGGTTTCACCCCCCATTCTGGCACACCCCTCACACGTTTCGTGGCCCCATAGGGAGCTCCACCGAAGGCCCCAGTGGCTGCGCCCGCATGCGGTTCCACCCCCCATTCTGGCACACCCCTCACACGTTTCGTGGCCCCATAGGGAGCTCCACCGAAGGCCCCAGTGGCTGCGCCCGCATGCGGTTCCACCCCCCATTCTGGCACACCCCTCACACGTTTCGTGGCCCCATAGGGAGCTCCACCGAAGGCCCCAGTGGCTGCGCCCGCATGCGGTTCCACCCCCCATTCTGGCACACCCCTCACACGTTTCGTGGCCCCATAGGGAGCTCCACCGAAGGCCCCAGTGGCTGCGCCCGCATGCGGTTCCACCCCCCCATTCTGGCACACCTCTCACACGTTTCGTGGCCCCATAGGGAGCCCCACCGAAGGCCCCAGCGGCTGCGCCCGCATGCGGTTCCACCCCCCATTCTGGCACACCCTCACACGTTTCGTGGCCCCATAGGGAGCTCCACCGAAGGCCCCAGTGGCTGCGCCCGCATGCGGTTCCACCCCCCATTCTGGCACACCCCTCACACGTTTCGTGGCCCCATAGGGAGCTCCACCGAAGGCCCCAGTGGCTGCGCCCGCATGCGGTTCCACCCCCCATTCTGGCACACCCCTCACACGTTTCGTGGCCCCATAGGGAGCTCCACCGAAGGCCCCAGTGGCTGCGCCCGCATGCGGTTCCACCCCCCATTTTGGCACACCCCTCACACGCTTCGTGGCCCCATAGGGAGCTCCACCGAACGCTCCAGTGGCTGCGCTCGCATGCGGTTCCACCTCTCATTTCGGCACACCCCTCACACGCTTCGTGGGTGGCTCCGTGGGGAGCTCCACCGAAGGCCTCAGTGGCGGCGCTCGCATGTGGTTCCCCCCCATTCTGGCACACCCCTCACACGGTTCGTGGCCCCATAGAGAGCTCCACCGAAGGCCCCAGTGGCTGCGCCCGCATGCGGTTCCACCACCTTGTTTTCGGCACGCCATTCACACGTCTCGTGGCCCCATAGGGAGCTCCACCGAACGCCGCAGTGGCTGCGCTCGCATGCGGTTCCGCCCCCCATTTCGGCACACCCCTCACACGCTTCGTGGCTCCATAGGGAGCTCCACCGAAGGCCCCAGTGGCTGCGCTGGCATGCGGTTCCACACCCCATTCTGGCACACCCCTCGCACGTTTCGTGGCCCCATAGGGGGCTCCACCAAAGGCCCCAGTGGCACTGCCCGCTTGCGTCCGCCACCACCCAGCACAGCCCTTGTTCCCTGCGCTTCACCCACCCAGAACAGCGCTTCGTAGCCCTATAGGGAGCTCCACCAAAGGTCCCAGCGGCACCGCCCGCATGCGTCCGCCACCACCCTGCGCAGCCCTTGCTCCCTGCCTGCGTTTCACCCACCCAGTACAGCGCTTCGTGGCCCCATAGGGAGCTCCACCGAAGGTCCCAGTGGCACCGCTCGCATGCGTCCGCCACCACGCAGCACAGCCCTTGCTGACCGCGTCTCACCCACCCAGTACAGCGCTTCGTGGCCCCATAGGGAGCTCCACCGAAAGTCCCAGTGGCACCGCCCGCATGCGTCCGCCACCACCCAGCACAATTGCGGCATTCACAGCTGCATATGGTTGGGTCTTTCGCCAGGCTAATTGAGTTTATCGCGGTGTTCCCTTCCTTGACTTCTGCGATCCAAGAGCAAAACGAGCAGTTAACAACAACATCATAATCCTCATCTCTCATCCTTACTCCTACTCCTCCGCCTCCTCCTCCTCCTCCTCCCCCTCCTCGACCGTAGCAGTTTGAGCTCAAGGCGGACAGGCTTGATAGCATAGTCACAGAGCCAAAACAAATCGGGATCTGTATGTTTCCTTTCTGGCGGCATGGCCAGGCCCCAGCGTTCCGATGTCCAACTCCTGGGCCACCGACCTTCGTCGGCAGACGCTTCTGGTGCTGACGGAGGCGCTCGGCAAACCTCTGCAGGGTGTGGCCTCTGGCGGCAAGCCGTTGGGGATGTTTGCGCGGACGCGTCGCCGCTTGCGCGAGTTGAACGCTCTCGTGGGATGGAGCGCTAAAAATTGCGAGAGGAAGGCATTCACAGATTAACCGTGGAGCTCAAGGCCGAGATCAATGGCCGTGGTGGTGCTGGGGTGTATCCTGTGGCGCCGCCTGGTATGCGCATTATAATGAAGCGCCTACAGTGCCGTTTTTTTTACACATGCTCCGCGTGCGGATGATGTATTAAAAATGCAGGGTTTAGTATTCAAATCAACGATGAGTTCACGCATAAATTTATGCATAAATTGATCATGTAAATAAAACCATATGTATTTTTTTAAAAAAAAAAATCGATGTATTAAAAACTGCCCTGTACTCAAGGCGACGACCAAGGAGACGCCCGCGGCGGCGGCGGCGGCGTGTCGGGGGTTGCGGCGTGCTGTTACGGTTGGGGATGTTTGTGCCACGGTTGCCGCTTCGGCCAGGCAAGTGGGAGGCGGATCGACACGTCTGTACACCGAGGCGCCGTGGCAATTCAGGCCGCAGCTGATCGTCTGGAGGTGGACGCGGTTTTCGTCAGGAGCCTGAAGGTGACCTTCGACATGAAGTTCCTGTCGATGACCGTCATGATCTTCTGGGAGGGATGTTGACGGTCCTCAAAATGATGACCCAGAAAATATGAGAAAATATGGAGACTCCCATTATTCATGTGTATTTATTTGTGTGTCCCAGGGCCCCTTCATTTGCGTCGGAGGGCAGCGGTGGCGCAGCTGGAGGCCCTCGGCAAGCAGATCTGGCGTTTCTCCCCCGGGCGCGTCGACGACAGGGGCAAAGAGGGCTTTTAGTTGCCTCCTGCTCCTCCTCCTCCTCCTCCTCCCCCTCCCTCCTCCTCCTCCTCCTCCTCCTCCCCTCCTCCTCCTCCTCCTCCTCCTCCTCCTCCTCCTCCTCCTCCTCCTCCTCCTCCTCCTCCCCCTCCT